CCCATGTGGAACCTGCCCATTCTCCACACTGAGGAGGGGACTGAGAGCAACAAGCCCTGGGCCCCAAAAGATAGTACCTAAGATGGGCTGGAGTTGGGAAGGGAAACTGATTCCAACTACCTATGGGGCTGCAGACCTCCAAGTGCAAGAGCGCATCATGAACCTGATCTGCGACCCGGACCTAACCAAGGTGAGCCGATGCCTGGAGCATGCCCTGACTGCTCGACACCCCCGAACCCGCTACAGCCCAGGCTGGGATGCCAAGCTGCTCTGGCTGCCTGCCTCCTACCTGCCAGCCAGCCTGGTGGATGCTGTGCTCACCTGGGTCCTTCCCAAGCCTGCCCAAGCAGTCCACTGAATCCAGCCTTCCAGCAAGATTATTTTTCAAGGGCAAGCTTTATTTCTGCCCTCCCCCTGGTACTGCCTGGTGCCTGTCACAAAATAACCACTAACAAGTGTGTTGTTTGAAAAATAAAAAGAAGGTGGGCAGAAACAAAGGTGCCCCGTGGAAGGCCGACCCCATTTAAGTGCTAACTACTACAACACGCTCATGGTCTCTGGTCAGTTCAGTGCCTGCAAAATAGCTAACACCCACAGGGGGGCGCAGGGAACTGCCTCACATCTACAGCGGCACCTCGAGGAGGGGCCATCAGAGGGCACTTTGATACATTTTCCTTATTTTCTAAAGGGGAGTAAGGTTGCAATTCAGGGTCTGTACTGAGAATGGCCTTTATATTTCTTGGGGGAGAAGAGCAACTGATGAAGAGGGATGGGGGTCAGGCTGGGTGGCTTCCATGGAAAAAAAGGCAATATTCACATAAATTCTCTTGCTAAGGAGGAGACTGGCCACACAGGTGTCAAGGCAACTTATCACCACTTTGAAAGGAGCTGGATCCCTGGAGAACTGGCCAGGGCAGGAGGTGCTAAGCCCTTAGCGGTGCACAAAAGGCCAGGAAAATGTCCAAGGTAGCTGTGGGCTGGGCTCTCCCAGGTGGGACCTTTCTGGGGAGCTGCTTTGAGTCATGCAGCAGATGGCTTCGTGAACGTTCGGAGTGAGCCTGGCGGCACAAGACTAGGGGGCAGGAAGCACCACAGTCTCTGGATTGCCACCTCTCCCACTGCCTGCCCAACCAACACCTTCAGCAAAGTCCTCCTTTCCCAAATGCCCCCACAATACACCTTCCTGAAGTACACAAACAGTAAGGTCCCAGAGGACAGGGAACATGGGTAAGGAAAGGAAGGAATCAAGCATCTCTCTAAGACAAACTCAGACCATCTCTCTTTTCCGTCTGAAAAAATAATCCGTTTAATTGAAAAACCTGGAGGATACTACTCCACTCCCCAAGATGAAGAGGGCGAAGAGTCCAGACCCTACATCACCTCGTAGCCACTTCTGATACTCTTCACGAGGCAACAGGCAAAGACAATTCCCAAGACCTAGAAAGAAAGATGGGGATGGGGGTGGAGAGGAGTCAGAAGGGCAAGCTACCCCAGACCCATGCAAGAGACCCCAAACACACACTCCCAGGCCAGTACCTCCTGCTCAGCACCCTCCCCACTGCCCCTACTCCAGGCACCCTGGACTGAGTCCAGCCCCTCCTCAGGGTTATCTCTCACCTCGACAAAAGCAATTCCAAGGGCTGCTGCAGCCACCACCAGCACGTTTTTCCTCAGCCAGACCCCAATCTTCTCCACACAGCCCTGAAGGGTGGCAGGCACACAGGACAAAAGCACCATCAGAAACTTACCACCCCATCCCCCTCCCCTGGTCCATCGGTCTCTTCCCTGCCCCTGTACCTTTCACCCCACCCTTATCATTTCCAGATCCCCTCCCCATCCCTGACCCTGTCCACCTCCATCCTAGGTCTCGCTTGCCTCCCAAAACATTTCCCAGGTTTCCCAAGTCCCGTACACAGTCTCCTCCCTACCTCCTTATGGATCTGCTTCTCGGTGAAATTAATCCCACAGCCCACAGTGACATTAACGCAGCAGGAGTCAGGGACTCGGTTCTTCGACATGGAAGGGATTTTCTCCCAATCTGTGTAGTTAGCAGCCCCACAGCACTTAAACTGGGGGAGGGAAGAAATACGGAGAAGGTTAAGTGAACCTCCATCTTCAATATGGAGCTGAGAATTCCTTTTTTATTTTTTAGACAGAGACTTGCTCTGTTGCCCAGGCTGGAGTTCAGTGGCACGATCTTGGCTCATTGCAACCTCTGCCTCCCAGGTTCAAGCGTTTCTCCTGCCTTAGCCTCCTGAGTACCTGGGATTACAAGTGCACGCCACCACACCTGGCTAATTTTTGTATTTTTATTAGAGACAGGTTTCGCCATGTTGGCCAGGCTGGTCTTGAACTCCTGACCTCAGGTGATCCACCCACCTTGACCTCCCAAACTGCTAAGATTACAGGCATGAGCTAACGCGCCCAGCCTTGGAGATGAGAATTCTCTATTCCCACCCCTGCTCCCAATAACCCCACTCACATCTGTCTGCATCCTGTCCAGAATCGAAGCAGTGTGGTTGTTTTTTGGGTAATTCTCCATCTGCTGCCGGAAGTTGTTATTAAACTCTGACATTACCTGAGAGTAGGTAAGGAGCATTGTTGCAGTCAGAATTCAAGCACCTGGGTCCCTGCCAGGCTGAGGCAGGCCCTTCCCGTTATTTCCTGCTTACCTTATCTCTAAACACATAGCCAGCAATGGCTGCGGCCACCTCTACCAGCATGATAAGAGACAGGAAGATGGCAAACTGCAGGAGCAAAGGACAGGAATCAGGTTTGGGGTCTGCATTACAGGGGCCCATTCCGGCCCACTCCGTCCCTGGACACTCACAAACGTCTTCCTCACCCACCTACCCACCTCACCTCACCCACCTTCCTGAGCCCCAACCAAGCTGCCCTGGCAGTCCCAGACCACCCATGCTGGCCCCACTCCCTGCCACTCACCGTGATCATAAGACAGTAGTTCTCCTTGCAGGCCCCACAGCAGCCCACAAAGGCCACCAAGAAGAGGAAGACACCCACTGCAATGATGACCACAGGCAACAGGGAGCCAGGGGTAGCCCCCTGGATTATGGTCTGACTCAGGACAAGCTGTGCCCCGACACCCACAGCAATGAGTCCCACTGCACAGGCCTAAGAGAAAGGCAGGCGAGGATTAGGCTGGACCCACAACACAGTGGCCCTCCATGGTGGAGGACAGGGGTACACCCAGGACACAGACTTGGCCCTAACCAGAGGAGAGATTCTCACACCTCCAGTGAACTTTTTCGGCTGTGGGGATGGGGGATGACCCATCCTTGCCTGGCCCCAGCTCCTCTGACCCCCTCCAGGCTCTTTAATCAGGGACTTGACCAAATTCAAAGGCTTCCCAGAAAGCCTTGACCTCCCCCAAGGCGCATGTTTCTGACCTAGAATAAGGCTTTCTACGGGCCTCAAGGGTTCGCAGCTCAGTTCTCTCCCAGAACTGGCCCCTCGCTATCCTCCAGTGCACACCCTACGCGCCTCAGCTGTAACTAAGGTTCCTCTGGCTAGTTAGGCCAAGAGAAGGGAAGAAGAAAAGGGGGAAAGAGAGATGTGCCCCTCCCTAGACAAACAGTAGCCTCTCAAGACAGGAGCCCAGAGCAGGAGCAAATTGAGGTGGGCAGAGCCCTTCCTCACCCCCAAGCGCTGGGAGGAGGGAAAGGGGGAGAAGGACTGGAGAGGGATGGGGGTGTGGGTGAGGAAGAGAGGGGAGAAGGGAGAGAAGGGAAGCCCCGTGGCGATAGCATCAGGCGGTTGGCTGGTTGCCCCACTCACTGCCCCATATCACAAGTGGTTGGGTCACCAGACAGGAAGGGCCAGGAGGGGTGGGGGTAGGGGTTGCTGCACCCCAGGATGGCCATTCTCTGTGGAAACCAGCCTCAGGTGTCCAGGAAAGCTGGAGGAGGGAGTGGCCGCGCTGTCTTCCCCGGCTTTCCTTCCACATCTGGTCTCCAGCTGCCTTCATTCTTACTCCCTCAGCCCTCACCAGTGTGCTGCCAGGTCTCCCCGCACCCTGCCAGCGCGCTCCCCAGGACCCCTCGCCACTCACGCAAAAGGCCAGCAGGAGGACATAGAGCAAGAACTTCACACATTTCATTCCTCCTTCCACCGCCATGGCTGCCGGGCCTGGGGCAGAGGGGAGGGCGGGGGGATTAACACAGGCCGAGAGGGGACCTCGCCTTCCGCGCTCCCCGCCGGCCCTCGAGGGCTTCCCTGCACGCCCCGATTCCCGGCCCCTCCCACCCGGAAACCCGCGGTTGGATCCACGTCTCCCAGCCCCCTCTCCACCCGCAGGAGAGGGGTGGGGGTGACGGCCGCAAAGCCCGGACCCCGCCCCGCCGCCCGTGGGGCCCAGGACAGATCCAAGGACGCCGGCAGGGGCTTGAGTCAGAAGCCGATCCTCGGCCTGCCAGCCTCCCGGAGTCAGACACCCCCTCCCCGCCCAACCGGTCCGGACAAACGGTCTTCAGCCCAACACCGACCCCCACCCCGACCCCTTTTCCCTGGGATTGGACCTCTCCGCCCACGAAAATAAAGTGCGGCCCGCACCCCTGCCACACCCTGCCCTGGCCTGGGAACTTCGAAGCAAAGTTGCTCGACGGAGGCTGGAGAGCGCCGGGCAGGTCTCCTCGGGCCTGGGGCCAGCCCTGGAGGAGGAGAACGCCGGTGGTCTCCGCCAGCCCGCGCCCAAGTCCGCCGGGACCCCCCGGCCTCACCTGGGTTCCCCAAGGCTGCGCGCTCCTCTCCCGCCGCGGCGCCGGGGCTCTCTAGCTGCGCCCCCCGGCTCCCGCCCCGCCTGCCGCGCAGCCCCGCCCCGGGCTCCAGCCACGGTCCCCTCCCCCGCCGGGTGGCCGCCGACCTCCCTCATGTGACGCGGGAACAGCTGAGGTCTGAGTCACTGGGGCCGGCGCGGGGTGGGCCGAGCCCCCCGCCCAGCCAGGGCCACGTGGCCTCTACCCGGAAGACAGCGCCCACCCCCGAAAAGGGAAAGCCGCAGGGGCAAGACCTCGAGGCGCCGGGGGCCCCCCTCCGGCGCCCCCACCTCCGCGCCAACACCGAGTAGGAGAGCGGGGCGGAGCGCCGCCTGGGTCACTCTGGTTCAGAGAAGCGGAGGAGGCGGGTGAGAGTTACCCTCTCAGGGCCGGGGCGGAGAGCGGAGGACTAGTGACCCGGCGGTCTGAGAGAGGCTTCCCTATCCTTCTCCCACAGCCCAGCTCTCTCCTCTGGCTCCAACTCAGTGCGAGCCCCTCCCCATCCGACTCTGCAGACAGCTGTGGTCTGCCTGGGTCGGATGGGGTCAGAACAAGCACTTCTAGAAAGTCCCTGGCCTCTCATCGTGGGTGTCTCCCAACATGCTAGAGTATTCTAGAGTGGGGGTTTCTGGTCCCCTCCATTAGCACAGCTTCTCCATTTTCCAGGGCTCCTGGTCTGAGCAAAGAGGAGGAAACCCTTCCTCGAAGCCACACTCTCCAGTCAAAGAAGACACGTCCTCGTCGGGTCCCGTCCTCTGGGGGAGGATTGACAAGGTCTGTGCTCCCAACCTCCCGGACAGCTCCTGCATCCGCCTGCTATGGCGTGGGCTTGCGGGAAGACACGAAGGCGGGAGAGGCTTATGTCCTCTGGATTTCCCCGTCTTATCCCAGAAGACAAAGCCAGGTGAGGGCTGGAAGCGGGCTAGGGGGGCGAAGCAGCCTCCCTCCCTTGTGTGCCAGCGGTGGTCCCCAGAAGGAGCTGATCTGAACAGACCAGAGGGTAGGACCGGCCGTCACACTCCAGCCTGGGCCCCACTCCTTGGGCTCTTAGAGTCCTGCCTCAAGAACCACTTCCTGAGTCTTGGTGTATGTATGTATCTAAAGTCTTGGTTTATGTGTGTACACAAAGAAGGAAAGAAACCTCTGGGCTGAACTGAGAAGCAGCTTCCAGGATCATGGCCTTCCCGCCGGACACACCAAGCCAATTCCCGACCTTGTTCTCCCTAGCCATGGAGGGCAGGCTGTGGAGGAGGAGCGAAGAGCTGAAAAAAGGAGGATTCAGGTTCCTCATTGTGCTGCCACTAGATGCCAGGCATGTGCTAGGCACGGGGGCTGCAAGGAGAGGAAGACAGTGGCCCTGCCCTGTGCCAGCAGGCAGAACCAAGTTCTGGCCACACTGAAGAAAGGCAGAAGCCTGCTGCGGCAGCTGGTTAAGCTCAAAGGGACGATAGGAGAATGGATTTCATGGAGCAGGGTGGTGTGCTCAAGGTGACCTTGGAGAATAAAGGGGAGAGCTCCAGGGACAGGGAAGCAGTTAACTGTGAAAAAAAAAAAAAAAAAAAAGAGCTTTTTTTTTTTTTTGAGACGGAGTTTCGCTCTTGTTACCCAGGCTCGAGTGCAATGGTGCGATCTCGGCTATCTCGGCTCACTGCAACCTCCGCCTCCTGGGTTCAGGCAATTCTCCTGCCTCAGCCTCCTGAGTAGCTGGGATTACAGGCAGGCGCCACCATGCCCAGCTCATTTTTTGTATTTTTAGTAGAGTCGGGGTTTCACCATGTTGACCAGGATGGTCTCGATCTCTTGAGCTCATGATCCACCCGCCTCGGCCTCCCAAAGTGCTGGGATTACACGCTTGAGCCACCGCGCCCGGCCAAAAAGGAGCATTTTTTTAAAGTATATGACAGCTTGGGGTTGGCTGGCTCGAAGTGCTTGGGAAGGATGTAGTGAGATGTGTTGAAGGTGGTCTGAAAACCAAGATTGAGAGACTTTCGATACATAACAACCAACTTGGTCCTTCACTGAATAATTGTCTGAACAAACCAGCTGTGAAAGACATTTTGGGACATATAAATATGGACTGAGAATTAAACATGAGAAAATTATTTTGTGAACTGTTATCATGGTTAACAAAACGGGCATATCATGATATGATTATATCGACAAGTTACTCTAGTTTTTATTTTTTTTCTTTATTTCTTTTTTTTTATTATTTATCAGCCAGTGCATTTGTTTACAGGAAAGAGGTCCCGATCCAGACCCCAAGAGAGGGTTCTTGGATCTCATGCAAGAAATAATTCAGGACAAGTCACAGTGCAAAGTAAAAGCAAGTTTATTAAGAAAGTAAAGTGGCGATACAAAATTAGCCGGGTGTGGTGGCAGGCACCTGTAATCCCAGCTAGTGGAGAGACTGAGGCAGGAGAATCGTTTGAACTTGGGAGGCAGAGGTTGCAGAGAGCCAAGATCGCACCACCGCGCTCCAGCCTGGGAGACAGAGCAAGACTCTGTCTCAAAAAGAAAAGAAAGTGGTAAAGGGCCGGCACAGTGCCTGTCACCTGTAATCCCAGCACTTTGTGAGGCCAAAGCGGGTGTATCTCCTGAGGTCAGGAGTTCAAGACCAGCCTGACCAACATGGAGAAACCCCATCTCTACTGAAAATATAAAAATTAGCCAGGTCTGGTGGTGCATGCCTGTAATCCCAGCTACTCAGGAGGCTAAGCAGGAGAATCGCTTGAACCCAGGATGCGGAGGTTGCAGTGAGCAAAGATGTGTCACTGCACTCCAGCCTGGGCAACAAAAGTGAAACTTCATCTCAAAAAAAAAGGGGGGGCCAGGCGCGGTGGCTCAAGCCTGTAATCCCAGCACTTTGGGAGGCCGAGGCGGGTGGATCACGAGCTCAAGAGATCGAGATCATCCTGGTCAACTTGGTGAAACCCCGTCTCTACTAAAAACACAAAAAATTAGCTGGGCATGGTGGCGCGAGCCTGTAATCCCAGCTACTCAGGAGGCTGAGGCAGGAGAATTGCCTGAACCCAGGAGGCGGAGGTTGCGGTGAGCCGAGATCATGCCATGCACTCCAGCCTGGGTAACAAGAGCGAAACTCCGTCTCAAAAAAAAAAAAAAAGGAGGAACACATCTACCCTAGGTACAATGCTCATATATATGGAGAGATGTGCTCTGCTACAAGGGTTTGTGATAAATAATTTTCTTAATTACTATATTTTGTAAGAATTGATATTATCTGTTTATTATTATTATTATTATTATTAATTTGTTCCCTTAACCATAAATGTCTGGAAGCTAAAAATGCCTTTCTGATAATGCATCCCAGCAAGTCCCAGCCCTCACTCAAAATGGAGTCACTCTGGATCAAACGCCTCTGACACATTGATCTAACCCAGTGAAAGGCAGTCTTAGGATTTGAACCCAGATCTCTGGGGGAGTTCCAAAGCCTGTGCTTTTTTCCCTTCATTCTAGGAGGCCAAGAGAAGAGAGAACCTTTTTTTTTTTTTGAGACAGAGTCTCGATCTGTTGCCCAGGCTGGAGTGCAGTGGCACGATCTCAGCTCACTTCAACCTCCTTCTGGGTTCAAGTGATTCTCTTGTCTCAGTCTCCCAAGTAGCTGGGACTACAGGTGTGCACCACGACACTGGCTACTTTTTAAAATATTTTTTTGAGACGGAATCTTGCTCTGTCATCCAGGCTGGAGTGCAGTGGCATGATCTCGGCTCACTGCAACCTCCACCTCCTAGGTTCAGGTGATTCTCCTGCCTCAGCCTCCCGAGCAGCTGGAACTACAGGCACGTGCCACCATGACCAGCTAATTTTTTGTATTTTTAGTAGAGACGGGTTTCACCATATTAGCCAGGATGGTCTCGATCTCTTGACCTTGCGATCTGCAGCCAAAGTGCTGGGATTACAGGCGTGAGCCATCGCACCTGGCCTAATTTTTGTATTTTTAGTAGAGATGGGGTTTCACCATGTTGGCCAGGCTGGTTTCGAACTCCTGACCTCAAGTGATCCACCTGCCTTGGCCTTCCAAAGTGCTGGGATTATAGGCTTGAGCCACCGCACACAGCTGAGAAAAGAGAACTTTGACCAGAGGGCTGAGCATAGTGGCTTACACCTGTAATCCCAGCATTTTGCGAGGCCAAGGCAGGTGGACCACTTGAGCTCAGGAGTTTGAGACCAGCCTGGGCAACATGACAAAACCCCACTTCTACCAAAAAAAAAAATAATAATAATTAGCTGGGCTTGGTGGTGAGCACCTGTAGTCCCAGCTACTCTAGAGACTGAAGTGGGAGGATCACTTGAGCCCAGGAGGTGGAAGTTGCAGTGAGCTGTGTTCACACCACTGCACTCCAGCCTGGGCAACAAAGCAAGACTCTGTTCTAAATATATAAATAAAGACAGGAAGAGGGAACTCTGCCAAATAGTGTAGAGAGGGCAATTTGAGTGAAAAGCAAGAGGCCATTGGATGGGGTTCTTTCTCTGGAGCAGTAACAGGAGCACCTGCTGGGGCCCCAGAGTAAGGGGAGGAAGTAGAGACATCCAGGTGAGCAGAGGGAGAGCTGAGGTGAAGGTCAGGAGAATGGAGTCCTCCTAGAGGAACACCAGGGGAAGGGGCTGAAAGCAAGCTATAGCAAGTGCAGAGGTAACAGCAACTTGGTAAAGCAACAGGGCAAGAAAGGATAGGGCCAGGGAAACCCAGAGAACAAGACTGTGTGGAGTTGGAAGCGGGAGGGGAAGAGAGGAGGGCAGGTAAATAACCCATTCTGAGTCAAATTCATAGACGCAGAGAGTGAAATGGTGATTGCCAGGGATGGGGACAGGCAGCATAGGGAGTTAGTGTTTAATGGGTACAGAGTTTCAGTTTAGAAAGATGAAAATGTAGCCAGGCACAGTGGCTCACGCCTGTAATCCCAACACTTTGGGAGGCTGAGGCCAGTGGATCACCTGAGGTCGGGAGTTCGAGACCAGCCTGACCAACATGGAGAAACCCCCTCTCTACTAAAAATACAAAATTCTAGCCTGGTCAATATGGTGAAACCTTGTCTCTACTAAAAATACAAAAATTATCCAGGCGTGGTGGAGTGCATCTATAGTCCCAGCTACTTGGGAGGCTGAGGAAGGAGAATTGCTTGAACCCAGGAGGCGGAGGTTGCAGTGATCTGAGATCGCACCACTGCACTCCAGCCTGGGCAACAGAGTGAGACAGACTCTGTCTCAAAAAAAATAAAAGAAAGGAAGATGAAAATGTTGTGGAGGTGGACAGCACTGATGGTTGCACAACAATGTGTATGTATGTATTCAGTGTCCCTGAATTTCATGTTACACATATTTTACTACACACACACACACCAGAATGATTCATTTCTACAGCCTGGAAAGTTGACACAGAGCCCCATGTGTTTGCTGGGCTGCAGAACAGAGGGGCCTCTTCGTGGGAAACGGCTGACCCCAGACCTGGGCCTTACATCCACATCCCTCAGATCCTCCACCATCTGCTCCGAGTGCCTGACATCCAGATATGCCACCAAGCCATCCCAGCTGGCCCAGGCTGCTGCCCCTTTGTTGCCTGGCACCAGCTGGTAGTAGGTGAGCTGGGGCACAGACCCTTGCCTCTGCGTACCAAGCAAACCCAAGTTGCCCTCCAGCTAGCTCCACCTCACCTCCACCCAGGGCCAGCAGCAGAGCATGGGGGCCGCAGATGTCTCAAGCAAAGGTTCAGCCTCCTGAGAGCATATAGTCATCAGCCAGGCCCAGTGCCATGCACAGCAGCTTGTAGCCAGCACCCAAGGCCTCCTGAAGCCCAGACCACATAGGGAGCCCAGCACCTGCTGCACAGACACCTTCTCCCCGCCATGCAGCAGGGCCCTAGCCCCCCTGCCTGTGCTCCACTGAGTGAGGGCACTCAGAGATGAGATGCAGGTGCCATGATAAGAGAGGCCCCAAGGCCGGGCGCGGTGGCTCACGCCTGTAATCCCAGCACTTTGGGAGGCCGAGGCGGGTGGATCACGAGGTCGAGAGATCGAGACTATCCTGGTCAACATGGTGAAACCCCGTCTCTACTAAAAATACAAAAAATTAGCTGGGCATGGTGGCGCGTGCCTGTAATCCCAGCTACTCGGGAGGCTGAGGCAGGAGAATTGCCTGAACCCAGGAGGCGGAGGTTGCGGTGAGCCGAGATTGGGCCATTGCACTCCAGCCTGGGTAACAAGAGCGAAACTCCGTCTCAAAAAAAAAAAAAAAAAAAAGAGAGGCCCCAGTGAACCTAGTGGAGTTGGGGGCACAGGAAATATTGAGGGGATATGAGGAAGGTGAGGAGGAAAGAAGGGATCCAGAATCAAGGGAAAAGAAAAGAGTTGGGAGAGGGTCAAGGAAAAACGGGAAAGTGGGAGACACAGCAGGGTGGGAGGCATAGGGAAGGATGGGGGAAGGGAAAGCAAAAATACATCAGGAATCAATACTTCTTGGGCCTCAATTTAAAAAAACAATTTTTTTTTAATTTTTGAAAAATAGATGTAAGAGAAGAGTGGGGAGAAGGAAGAGGAGGAGATGGATGGGAGGGAAGAAGGAGACAAGGATGGATCATCAAAGCCATCTCCCCACGGGGAAGGGTAGAGAGAGTGGTGGATAGCATTCAAGGTCCAGAGGTTGGGTCTGAATTGGGTCCTGAAATTTAAGTCCAGAGGCCTCAGCTTTGGATAAGGAGAGAGGCACGGTGTTTGGTGGCATCTCCCAGCCTGCAGGGTGAAGGAGGGGCTGCACATTTGCATCTGCAGGCCCTGCTGGTAAAAGAGCTCATAGACCACCCCACCCAGGCTCCCCAGAGTCGGTTATAGGCCCCAGCACCAGCACTGAGTGCAGCCCCCAGGGAAGATACTGTGCCCAGCACCACGGCAATGTCACCACTATGTACTTACCAGTTGATGGAGACTGGGGAATAGAAAGGAGTCTCCAGTCACTGGGTGACCATCTCTGCTCCGACTTTCTAGGGCGGCTACACCCTTCATAATTGGCAAGACTACGTCACCATGGTACCCAGAAGAACATATTGCCAAAGTCCCCTTCTATCTCACTTCAAGGAAAGTGGGCCTCAGAGGGGTAAAGCCACTCACTCAGGGTCAACAGGTCAACCTGCAGGTAAGAATCAGGGTCTTTTT